TAAGTAGTGGGAATTATATTTTGTTGGTAATTAAAGCATTTAAACCATTTTATAAACAAATTCTACACTTATGCCCTGTTGATTTAACGCAAAGGTAAATAACAGATAACAAATAGAATAATAGATACAAAATGATTAATAAAGGATTATATTTTGATAACAATTAAAATATGTAAATCATTTTATGAATAAATTTTATACTTACTCCCTGTTGATTTAATGCAAAGATAAATAACAGATAACAGGTAGAATAATGAGTACAAAATAATTAATAGAGAATTGTATTTTGTTAACAATTAAAATATGTAAATCATTTTTATGAATAAATTCTATATATACCTTCTGTTGATTTAACGTGGAGATAAATAACAAATAACAGATAGAATAATGGGTACAAAATAATTAATGGAGAATTACATTTTGTAGACAATTAAAATATGTAGATTATTTTTAATGAATAAATTCTATACTTACATCCTGTTGATTTGACACAAAGATAAATTACAGATAACAGATAGAATAATGGGTATATAAAATAATTAACAGAAAATTCTAATTGCTGACAATTAAAAGATGTAGATCATTTTTATGAATAAATTATACACTTACTCTCTGTTGATTAAATAACAGATAACAGATAGAATAATTAATAGAGAATTATATTTTAGTGACAATTAAAATATCTAGATAATTTTTATGGATAAATTCTACACTTACTCTCTGTTGATTTAATACACAGGTGAATAAAAGATAGGATAATAAGTACAAAATGATTGATAGAGAATTCTATTTTGTTGACAATTAAAATATGTAGAGCATTTTTATGAATAAATTATACACTTACTCCCTATTGATTAAAATGAAGATAAATAACAGATAACAAATAGAAAAATTAATAGAGAATTATATTTTGATGACAATTAAATTATGTAAATAATTTTTATAAATAAATTCTATGCTTACCTCCTGTTGATTTAACGCATAGGTGAATAACAGATAACAGATAGAATAATAAGTACAAAATAATTAATGGATAATTATATTTTTTTGACAATTAAAATATGTAGATCATTTTTATAATAAATTTTATACTTACTTCCTGTTGATCAGTGTTGGGCAATATGGACATTTGGACTTATTAAAAATAATATGGACAAATATGAATATAGTAATTTATGGACATGGACATATAGGTTTGGACATAGTCCAAATTTTTTAAAAAATATAGACATATACCAAGTGCCAACACTGCTGTTGATTAACGCAAAGGTAAATAACAGATAGCAGATAGAATAATTAATAGAGAATTATATTTTGTTGACAATTAGAATATGTAGATGATTTTTTTATGAATAAATTTTACACTTACTCCCTGTTGATTAATGCAAAGGTAAATAACAGATAACAGATAGATAACAGATAGAATAATAGATGCAAAATAATTAACAGAGAATTATATTTTGTTGAAAATTAAGTATGTAGATTATTTTTATGAATAAATTAACTTATGAACTATTAATTTAATGCATAGGTGAATAATGGATAATAGATAGAATAAAGATACAAAAATAATTAATAGAAAATTATATTTTGTTGACAATTAAAGTATCTAGATCATTTTTATGAATAAATTCTACACTTACAGACTATCGCTATTGATTTAATGCATAGGTGAATAACAAATAACGAATAGAATAAGAATATATAAAAAAAATTAATAGAAAATTTTATTTTATTGATATTTAAAATACATACTCCCTGTTGATTTAACGCAAAGATAAATAACAAGTAACAGATAGAAAAATGTGTACAAAATAATTAATTGAGAATTATATTTTGTTGACAATTAAAATATGTAGATCATTTTATAAATTAATTCTACACTTACACACTGTTAATTTAACACAAAACAACAGATAGAATAATAGATACAAAATAATTAGTAGAGAATTATATTTTGCTGACAATTAAAATATATAGATCATTTTTATAAATAAATTCTACACCTACTATCTATTAATTTAATACAAAGATAAATAACAGGTTATAAAAAATAGGCAGAATAATGAGTCAAAATAATTAATAGAGAATTGCATTTTACATACAATTAAGATATATAAATTTTTATGAATAAATTCTACACTTACATACTGTTGATTTAATGCAAAGATAAATAACAAATAACAGATGAATAATAAATATAAAATAATTAATAAAAAATTATATTTTGTTGACAATATTTTGATCATTTTTATTAATAAATTATAAACTTACACTTTGTTGATTTAATGCAAATATATAACAGATAACAAATATAAAATAAAATAATAGATACAAAATAATTAATAGAGAATTATATTTTAGATATATACAATTAAATATATAGATTATTTTTATGAATAAATTCTATACTTACATACTGTTAATTTAATACAAAGATAAATAACAGATAATAATAAAATTATGAATACAAAATAATTAATAGAGAATTATATTTTGCTGACTTTAAAAACAAATTCTACACTTATACCCTGCAAAGATAAATAACAAATAACAGATAGAATAATGGATGCAAAATAATTAATAAGTATATATTATTTTTGGTTTAATAGTAAATTTAGCTCGTATAATATAGAGTTATTGGATGCGAAGCAGCCAATAATGAAAATTATTTGAAAAATAATTTCATTATCTGGCTGTTAAATTTAATATGTCAGCTTCTGGGCCTCTTTGGGACCCAGAAATAACATATTAAATTCACTGCCAGATAAACAAGTTATTGGCTGAGTAGCATTCAATAACAGTATTATCTGATATCTTATGATGACCGAACTAACAGAATGACTTGAGTTATTTTGATGATGATTGCATCATCATCAAATAACGAAGCACCTGGAAAATGTGTACCGGGTTGGGATCGGATAATTGTCTGGAAAGCTAAATAAGAACGGTATGAACAGTCGGAACCAGAAATGAAAATTACGTATTACATATATATATCATCTAGCTAATAAAATTACTTGATGTCATTAGTTAATCATTATTTAAACTTATTAAATTTTATGTTTTTCGTTTGTTTTTTATTTTTGCAAAAAAAAGTAATGCAAAATTTGGTATAACATGTATTTTATATTGGTTAATTACAAGCAAGAAACCATCAAATTAGGACTTAGTTAAACAAAATAATAGAATATATCAAATCTACCTATGCCATTTTGCCAAATACCTATGTTGCTTATGAAGCTATAATAACCAAATCTACCTATGTCACTTCGCCAAATACTTTCGTCGCTTATGAGTCACGAGTTAAAACCATAATAATCAATGTGAAAATAAGCAATTTTCATTCGTCTAAAAGTGATATTAAATTAGGTTAGTATTTTAAATTTCAATTAATAACAATTCAGAATTTATTTAATAACTATGTAGCAACGAAGATCTAATATGCATATTATATCTATTGAAAAGTTTTCAACTTATTATTAGTAACGTTAACAATAATAGCCAACTTCTTGTCGAAATTGAATATTTCAAGAAGGATGTGAAAATCAGAATCTCTATCGATAGACAAGTTAGCGTCCTATATATTTTATCAAGTTTCATATAGTCAAAAAATATCCAGAAAGAAAATATCAATCAGTTTGAAATGAAGAGCATAAAGAATAATTAATTGCAAATACATTTTATCAAAGAATATCACAGAAAACAACCAAATGGTTAAAAAAAAAAACTATTATAATATTAAAATTCAAGTTTATTTGTATTATTCTATGCATTAGATATAAGTTGTAAATTGCATTAAATATTATATACTTTATATTATCGCTATAATTAAAAAATAAAGTCTTAGTAAAAAAAAAAAGTAAAAATTTGAAAACATTTGCCGGACCATCATCCCGGTACACATTTTCCAGGTGCAATAACGAAGCTATTTGATGATGATACAATCATCATCAAAATAACTTGAGTTATTTTGTTGGTACAATCATAGTAAGGTGCCAGATAAAGAATTATATTTTGTTGGCAATTAAAGTATATAGACCATTTTATAAATTATTTTACACTTATCCCTGTTGATTTAATGCACAGATAATAGATATAATAATGGGTACAAAATAATTAATAGAGAATTATGTTTTGTTGACAATTAAAATAATTGATCATTTTTATGAATAAATTTTACACCTACTCCAACCTGTTGATTAACACAAAGGTAAATAACAGATAGAATAATAGATACAAAATAATTAATAGAGAATTATATTTTTTGACAATTAAAATATGTAGATCATTTTTATGAATAAATTTTACACTTACTCCCTGTTGATTAACACAAAGATAAATAACAAATAACAGATAAGTAATTAATAGAGAATTATATTTTGTTGACAATTATCGTGCTTTTCAAATTAGTGTGATTATCAGATTTCATACATCACACACACGGGAATCTGAAAATCTGGGTCTTTTCAAGTTTTGATTGAAGATATCTCAACACTTACTTGGCCAAATCCAATGAACTTTTTTTTGTTTTACTTATGATCATTAGTAGAATCAAATAAAAAAAAATTTAATGAATATGATTAGGTAGGTATTGAGATATCTTCATTCAAAGTTTGAAATACACTTCTATTTAAATTTTTCCAAAAATGACCTGACGCATGACAATAGGCGTGCTAAGGTTATTATCGCGAGGATCGTCACCCATTGTTCCATTTCGAATCTATGACGATATTATGATGTATTTGAAACATAAGGGTATAAATTAGGGCTAAAAATGTAATTGTATATCTTTTAGTGCTTTTTTCTTTGCTGCCCGACTTTGGTCTGGTTTTTTTCGCATACATGTCTATAGTGCTTTATTATTAGATTTTTTCACACTCTTTACATTTTTCTTTCCCTTTTTAAAAATAAAAATAAAAAAAATAAATAAATAAATAAATAAAATAAAAAATAAAAATAAATAAAAACAAAAACGGAAGTGAAACGTTTAAAAAAATATGTCAGAGTCAAACTTATCTAAAGGAGACTTGGAAGAACTTTGCCGTGCATTTGGTGTGTCTACCGATGGTGTAAAAGCGGACCTTGTACAAAGATTAAAACAACTTTCAAGCGAAGTAGGCCAAAACCCAAATAGTGTTGAGGAAACTGGTGAAACAAGCCTGGGAAATTGTGACGTCGATGACCAAGGAGATCATGTGTTTGAGGTAAATGATTTCAATATCGATCCAGTAGCACAATCTTTAAAGGAACTAGCTTACCAAATGAAAGGAAAATTTAAGCAACCACCCTTGTCAAATAAGATTGCAGAACCAGATAACCCTTATACAAATACTGAAGAATGTACTAACCGAAGCAAACGGCATTATCAGGAAATGGAATTCGATAACCCATTAGGAAATTTGGTTTTATCCGAATTTAAAAAATTGGGAAATGTGATGACAAATTTCAATGATAGACTAAATTCGGTAGCTATGCAAGTACAAGATACACGTTATAGAGCTGAAATAAACGAAGCATGACCAGCCTGTAAATTTGAGAAATCATGAGATCAACATGAGTATGATTCACTATGTACAATTGGGACAGAGCTTGACTTAGCAAAAGAATCTAGAAGTTTTTCTGAGGTTATGACTCATATTGAAAAAGCCTGTGAGGCAGCAGCAAACCGAATGTTTACTCTGTGTGTAGCAGAAGGTTATGGTTGAGAAGTTGCAGCAGCATTACCAAATACACAGGACAATTGGCTTAAGGGAAAAGATACGTTAATCGAAAAGGCAAAGGCCCTAGCTGAAGAAAAGAAGAATAAACGCCAAAAAACTACTAGTTTGACTGAGAATCGGGAATCTTTATTTCATAAACCCAACTACTAGGGAAAAGCTCAAAATTCTTACCAAAATTACCAAAGCACAAACAAGTTTTTTCAGACGAATTCCCAGTCCCACAATCAGTTTCAAAATTCCTTAAACAAATGTTATATCTGTGAAGGGTATGGGCATTTTGCAAACTTCTGCCCCTCTGACCCACACCGAGACACTAGATACCAGCAAGAAACCAACTTTAATTACAGATCAAAAGGATACAATTCATATAGGAACAGATTTGGTAAATCCCAAGATGAAAGCAAACGTGATTGACTACACTCGGGCCCAGCAAAAAATAGTTGTAGTAGGACGGTTGCATATAAGGAAGCATGTAGACTATTGGAAAAACAAGTTACAGGCCTCTGGTTTAATTCTGAAGAAACACCCAAAAGAGGATAGACTGCAATAGCAATGACAAACAACACTATAAAAAATAACACAACTGGAATGTTTAACGTATACTTTATAAAATGAGTTATAATTAAAGTAGTAACTGAATGTTTTACAAAGGATTACAAGGAAACTTGAACCTAAAATTGGTTTATTCAATTGCTGGTTCCCCAGTGATTGGAATGCAGATAGAAACAGAAATAGACAAAGAAACCATTACATGAATGGGAATGTAACTACAACACAGTAATAGGAAATGACGTAGGAGACCTCGTCAATACAAAAGCAATATGCTTAAACTCCATATGATTCCCAGAAACTAAATCAAAAATATACTCAAGCATTAGTAGAAGCAAATACAAAAATAGGACAAGATAATCTCGCATTATAGTAAATATAGCCTAAACACAAATATCATTTAGATTATATATGGATAAAATGCATGTAACAGGAGCATGGATAGAAGAAGCACAAAAAGCATTTTCAAAAGGACTACATCAGCGAAATATATTAACGTAATTTTACGTAAGTTATTACGGCCCGAAATATTGCGCAATAATTACGGTCT